GAGCTGGAGAAAAATGTAGAACAAAATTCTAACTCACAAAAAAAGACCAGACTTACTGGCCTGACAGAGACTGGAGAAACCCCGAGAGTATGGCCCCCGGACACCATTTTAGCTCAGTACTGAAGTCACTCCTGAGGTTCACCCTCCAGCCAAAGATTAGACAGGCCCATGAAACAAAACGAGACTAAAAGGGCACACCAGCCCAGGGGCAAAGACTAGAAGGCAGGAGGGAACAGGAAAGCTGGTAATAGGGAACCCAAGATTGAGCAGGGAGAGTGCTGACATGTCATAGGGTTGTTAACCAATGTCAGAAAACAATATGTGTACTGTTTAATGAGAAGCTAGTTTCTTGTATAAACGTTCATCTAAAGTACAATAAAAAAAATGTGAAAAACTGATATCAGATGAAGGAAGAAAGTTAATGATATTTATCAGGTGCTTTTACAGTTCGAGCCTGACAATGGGCTAGATGGGCATACTGATGGCCCTCCTTCTAGTGCACGCTGTTCCACGCTGTAACACAGTTGTTACTGGTGGAAACCCCAGGTTCATGCTTGGCAGGACTCATACTGGCCAATAAATGAGAGACCAAGGTGGGAGAACTGGAAAGGCACCTTTATTTCATTGCACAAGAAAAAGGTGTTGCTCGGAGCTGCTGCCACCAAGACCGCTCCCCAAGGGCAAGGAGACAAGTTACTTTTAAAGGGTTTACAAGTAGGGAGTTCATACAAGTTATGTCAGCAACATTCTTAATCATACTACGCAGGCGCAGTGGGGTTTACATATAACTTTCAAGCAAAAGCAGGATTCAAATACAAAGCTGGGGGGTTGGGGGGAGGAAGCCCAGCCAAAGAAACACAATTTTCAGTGCAACACTGTAGAGGAGGCTCTGTCTCACAGTAACTGATAAAAGGTTCATGGTGGTCATAGGAGAGTCCCTACGCAATAAACTGCTGACAAACACAAGTTTCAGAGTTAGATCTAGTTTTGAATTTTCTGACTCTACTGTTAACAACCCTTTAGGACCAGCAGTATATATAGCTACCACTTACTTTTTGTACCTCTGGGGTTCATTGGGAAGCTGCTGTCCCACTCATAATATATGCCGCCAGCAGGCAGGGCCCTATATAACCATTTGAAACAGAAAAAACAGGCATGTGCTACAAATTACCGTTTTTACAGGGTGTTGTTTGAGGTGGTGCTGAATCACTGAATTTCTGGTAGGAAAAACATGAGCACTGAAAATTTTTATTTGGTACACATATGTATCTCTGGACTCTGGGGGAAGAATTTGTTGTTTTCATAAGAAGTACACGTTCCTCAGGATTTTGCGGATACAATTTGTGGAATGAGGCATGTAACAAAAACCATGTTACCTACCAAAATTTCAGACACAATGATTCAGCATGCCCTTCATCACTGAAAACACACAGTATCAACAAAAAATTAAAAGGAAAAAATGATCAGGTCACGAAAGAGTTACTGGCAGAGTGACTTCCTGATGACATGCAGAGAAATCATTTAACTGTTCTGTTTTTATACCTATTAAAAATGCAGTAAAATTTTTCACAGACCTTATTTTTCATATAAAAAATAAATTATATCTGGACATTCTCGGCCTCTTTGGAAGAAAAGGTAGTAAGTAAACACAACAGTATAATTAGTAGCCCAGGAAAAGAAAATTTTTAAAAAGTTTATCCAAGATGACTCCCTTCAAGCATTATCTTTAGTTTGCAGAAACCCTTATCACGATGTTACAGAACAGAAAGTCAGACTTCTGTGTTTACAGCTGTGACTTTTCCTATGACATAACATTTTACGTGTTATTGATCTGCTTACTATCTTGGAGCCCTGGTGTCGCAGTGGCTAAACGTTTGGCTGCTAACGAAAAGGTTGGCACAAATCCACCAGTCGCTCCTTGGAAACCCTATGGGGCAGCTCTACTCTGTCTTAATAGGGTCACTATGAGTCAGAATGGACTCGACGGCCACAGGTATATACTACCTTATATTTCTGGGAAAAAAGTGTCCATTAGAAAAATAGTTATTTTACAATTTTCCTCTGTAACAACCTACTTAAATTACCATTACGGTCTGTTTTTCCTTCCCTTTATGGTCAAAAAGGAGCCCTGGTGGTGCAGTGGTTAAAGCGACCAGCTACTAACAGAAAGGACAGTCTGTTCCAACACACTAGCTGCTCCACGGGAAAAAGATGTGGCAGTCTGCTTCCGTAAAGATTTACAGCCTTGGAAACCGTATGAGGCAGTTCTTCTCTGTCCTACAGGGTCGTTAAGAATTCGCATCTACTGGACGGTAATGGGTAACGGGTATGGTCAAGAAGTATAGGTACAATAAGAAAGGCAATCAAAGAATTTAAGAAATAAAAGCTTTTCAACTGGGTTTGCACCTTTAAATCCACTTGCAACACACTGTAGCACAACTTAATCTGCAAACTGCCAAAGCAAAGCAATATAACAATGAGTGGGAATCGACTGCACTAGCACACAACATCGCATTTTCCATTACAATACTGGATACTTTGAACTGGTTAGAGTCAATGTTTCAAGTACTTCTCACTTTATATTGAATAGCTTGGCTTACTGGATTTCTCCTAGTAACCAAAACTCTTAAGAAAACTTTTTTTTTAAACCGAAGAGAATGATAGCCCATACTGCCTCACTACGAGAAATCTGTAGTTACCCTGTCGGTGAAGCACAAGACATGAGAGGCTGCAAACTAAAAATCTTAACCCGAACTATTAAGAGCGTAAGGTCTCCAAAGTCATGTTCTAGTAGTGAACAAAGCTCATTCCGTCGACTGACAAAACCACAGAGCTCGGGAGCTGGAAAGTGGCCTCAGGGAAGTCCTTAACACGTCGGAAGCCCGTCCGCGAGAGGAAGCCAAGGTACAGACAGGTAAACAAAAGAGCCGGCCACAGAGACCCGCTGTTTCGATAAACGTTTACGTTCCCCTGCCGTCCCGCCGCCGCCTCCTCCCCGCCCCCCGCACCGCACTGCTGGGCCCCGGGTCAAATCCAGAGCCAGCCCTGTTTGCCTAGGTTCTGAGGCGAACCTCACTGCTGCCCTGCCAGTCCAGGACTGGGGGTGGACCGGGGCAGCGGGAACGACGCTGCGGCACTCCACGTCCCTCACCATCATACTTGGGATCTGAGCCCTCGGCGGGGAAGTCAATGGCAGGCGGCGCAGGCACAGCCCCCGCCCCATTTCCCTCCGCTTCGCGCTCCCGGGGCGCACAGCTGCCGGCCAGCATCGCCGGCCGCGCGCGGGCCGCAAAGCAGCCCGCCAGTTCGCCACCTCGCACCCTGACAGAGCGCCACCGGATCCGGAAGTGGCCCCTTGCCAGACGGAAGACCCGCCCCGGCCAACTCGCTGCTGTCGGGGGCGGGTCCTGCTCGATCCCCGTCCCTCCCTCCCATCTCCACAGACGGTGGAGTGAAGGCGCACGCGTCTTGGTGGGCTGGTGTTCGGGTGGAGGTCGGCGGGATGCTGTCGGCTGGGACAGGGCAGCGGATGGCCGGTTCCCCGCCGCACTCCGGGTGAACTCGGCCTTCACTCCCAGCTGCTCCTCGGATTGTCTGTCCTGGAGACCTGAGTATCCGCAGACGAGTCAGATGGCTCACGTTTCACGCCAAGACTCGGGCACGAGTGCAAGAATCAGGTGTCCTTAGATACTAATTCAAATGTTTCCTTTTTGCGGATCCAACTGAGTACTGTTTTTCTGTCATTTGCTTTCCTCCCCCCGCAAAAAAAAAAAAAAAAAAAAAAATCAAAAGCATCTACAAAACCTGTCTCATCAAGAACGGAACGTTGTTTCAGTCAACCGTTAAACCAGACGAACATGGGAAATGCCAACTACACTCCAAAGTGAATCCAACCTAACAAAAATTCCACTTGTTTTGAGGCTAAACTTTCAACTGAAATGTTTTCAAACTGGAGTAGCCTTTTCCAGGTGGCCCGCTTGCCACACTGGATCAACTTCGGTTTGAAGCACTCATCTTCAAAAATCCACCAACTTTGCCCTCTGTAGGTGTCCCTCATGACTTGGTCACTAACACCAAAACCAAATCTAGGATGTCACAGATGAGATTAATAAGGCTGGAATAAAGGCCTTTCAGGTTTTGAGCCTCAACCTCAGTGCAATGTGTAAAAGTGGTATTGTTTAAGGATTTTATTTGAACATATTTTTCATATAGGGTCATACTGGATGCATTCAGTCTGATAGAAGCAATTAAGGATAGAGTTTTCCAGATAACTTACAAAGATTAGGGATGTCCATTGTTGCTGGGTGCCGTCCAGTAGATTTTCCACTCATAGTGACCCCATGTAACAGAATAGAACTGCCACCACGGGGTTTTCTTGGCTGTAATCTTAATGGAAGCAGGTTGTCAAGTCTTTTTCCCACAGAGCAGCAGAGCAGCTGGGTGGATTCAAACTGCAAACCTTTCCGTTAGCAGCTGAGGCTTAATGAGAGCTTAACTGTTGTGCCACTAGGGCTCTTTGCTGACTTGGAGTAGCACAGTCTTTCTGGAGAGTGATTTGTCTATATATAACAAGGCAAACTCAGTCTGGTGGGAATATAAATTAAGACAAACTTTCTAGTCGGCAATGTGCCAGCTTATAGTTTTTAAATACGTATACCTTCTGACCTACATATCAGAGTATAGTCAAAGAAAATAATTAGAGTGGCAAAAAACCACGAAACTATAAGAATGTTCATCAATGGGTCGTTTATAATAGAAAGTAATTGAAAAAAATCCAAATTCCCAATAGAAAAACGGTATGTCTGTGCAATGAAACATTATGCAGCCATTACAAAAAATGAATAAGCAGCCTGTTCCTCTCTTGGTTTCCATGACATCACACTATTCCGGGTTTGTTTGTTTTTTTCTCTATTTTACTGGTCCTCTATTTCAGTATCCCTTGCTGGATCCTCCTTCTGCAAATGTATAAATTCTGTAGGGTTCTTCTCATCTCCATCCACATTCTCCCAGGAGAATGTTTAACACATAGATTGCTATCACTTTAAATACCATCTATAAGCTGACAACTTCCAAATGTATATCTAAAGCATGGACTTGTTTTCTTGGATGACTCGAGAAGCATCTCAAATTTATGTCGAAAAGAGAAGTCTTGATAGTCCCCCTAAACTTGTTTTCTACTACAACCCTCACGTAAAGGCACACCATCCACCCATGTGCCCACGCCTAAAGCCTGCGAATCAACCTGTTCCTCCTTCCCCTTACCCCTTCATACTCATTTCATCTAGCAAACACTATCATTTACATATATATATATGTATATGTATATACATACACACACACACACACATATAGAGAGAGAGAAAGAGAGCCCTGGTGGCGCAGTGATTAGGTGTTCGGCTGCTAACCAAAAGGAAGGCAGTTTGAATCTACCAGCTGCTCCTTGGAAACCCTAGGGGGCAGTTCTACTCTGTTCTGTAGGGTCCCTATGAGTCGGAATCAACTCAACAGCAGTGGGTTTGATTGTTTTGTTGTTGTTGTTGTTTGTTTTATATATATATATACACACATATGTGTGTGTGTATATATATATATATTCCATATCCAAAATATATCTAGGCTGCTTACAGATTAAAAAGAAAAAAACAGAAACATGATACAGCACATAAACATGCAGTTAACTGAAGTTGTTGTTGCGTGCTGTCAATTCCGACTCACAGTGACCATATAGGTCAGGGTAGAACTGCCCCCTTAGGGTTTCCTAGGTTTCTTGTAAATCTTTACAGGAGCAGATCACCATATCTTTTCTCCAAAGAGCCAGGGCTCCTTAGTTAACTGAAGAGGAACCCCAAACGGCCAATAAATTTCACTAGTTACAGGTAAATGCAAATGTAACAATGAAATAAGACTTCAAACTATCACAGTTGCAAAATAAAAGTTATTCATACCTAGGGTTGATGAGGAGATAGGAGAAGAGGACCTCTGGGACATTGCTAAAGAGCAATTCAGCAATATTGACTAAAGTCAATGGCGCATGCCCAAGACCCAGTAACTGCCCAGTAACTTTTTGTATATCCCTATTTAGGCCCAAGGAAATCCTGGTGGTTTCTGGTTAGGTGCTACAGCTGCTAATCAAAAGGTCGGCAGTTTGAGTCCACCAGGAGCTCCTTGGAAACTCTATGGGGCAGTTCTACTCTGTCGTATAGGGTCACTATGAGTCGAAATCGACTTGACGGCAATGGTTTTTTTGTTGTTTGTTTTTTTTAATATAGGCCCAAACATAGGTGTATAAGAGTGTTTACTACAACACAGCTTGTAATAACCAACCTGGAAATGGCCTAATATCTATCAATAAGGACATCGATAAATAAACATGCACACAATGGAATATTACAGTTAGAATGAGTCGAGTAGATCCCCATGGATATTGAAAATGACGCTGAGTAAAAAGTGTAAGTTGCAGAAGGCTAAATAATAATAGCTAACGTTTACTGAATACTGGTTCAATCCACTGTTCTAAATGCTGTCACACATATTAACTCATTCAATCCTCCTAACATACTTATCAGCGAACTGCTATGATTATCCCATTTTATAGATGAGAAGATGGAGCCAAAGAGTGCTTTTTAAATACCCTGCTCGAGGTCACACAACTAGTAAGCGGAGCAGCCAGGATTTTTATTTTTTACATGTCGCCTTTTATTGCTATCTATATTTTTTATAAAAGCATTATTGAGATATAATTTATATACCATAAAATTCATTCTTTCAAATTATACAATTTGGTGGGTTTTAGTATGTCGAAGAGTGGCAACCATCACCACTACCTAATTTTCTAACATTTCATCACCCCTAAAAGAGACCCCTAGCAACCAGAATTTAAACCCAGGAAATATGTCTCTAAATTCAGCCTCATAATGTACAGTATGATGCCATTTATGTATAAATTTTTAAAGATACAAAATACCATATGTTGTTTATGACACATACATTTGTAGTGAAAATACAGATGAAAAGGATATCTGATTTTAAAAGAGTGACTATTTCTGGAAAGAGAGAGAGGAGAAAGGGATCAGAAAGGGTTACAAATAGGAATTTAACTGTATTTGTAATTTTTATTTCCTTAAAAAAAGCAATTCTACACAACAATTGGTCTCTACTTGCCTGGAGCAGTAGAGCAAAGAGAGTCCAGAATAGGAACAGGAAATGGAATGTGTGGCTAATTGCCTCCAGGAGCAACTGCCTCCTTTGCCAAGAGGCCAAAAAGAACCGGATGGTGCCAGGCTACCATTACTGAATATTTTGATCAAAGAGTCTATAGAAGAATCCTGATCAAAAGAGGAAAAATGAAGAACAGGATTTCAGATTCTCATAAATTTCAGACTTTCTGGTGCCATGGAAGCTGGATGAACCCCTGAAACAACTGCCCTGAGATAATCTTTAAACCTTACACCAAAAATATCCCCTGAAGTCTTCTTAAAACCAAACGAATAGCTTAACTAGTAAAAAATGTCTGCCTTGAGCATTATGCTCTTTTAAGAACTATCTATTTGGGATCAAATGGACAACAACAACTCAAAAGATTAGATAGGAACCTTAGGGGGCAGTGAGTTTATGTTAACGGGGAAGGAACAATTCAGAAAAGGAGGGTGAGAAAGGTTGCACAACTTGAAGAATGTAATCCGTGTCACTGAATTGTACATGTAGAAACTGTTGAATTGGTATATGTTTTGCTGTGCATATTCTCAACAACAACAAAATAAAATTCAAGAAAAAAGAAAAGCAATTCTAGGCAAATGTTTAGAGACTAAAGTTCATTAGTGGTTACCAGGGGCAGGAAGGATGGGGAAAGGAAGAGTTGTTGCTTAGAGGACACTGAGTTTCTGTTAAGGGTAATGAAAAAACTTGGAAACCAGTACTGGTAATGGTTGCACAACATGAGAACATAATTAATGTCATTGAATTGTACACAAAAAAATGTTGAAATGACCAATGTTATGTTATATGTATATTTTGCCATAATTAAAAAAAGAAAAGCAATTCTCAAGCAAATATAGCTTTTTGTCAGCAGTTGTCAAATTTTGGTGTGGAAACATCAGTGTTTATTTACATTATCTTTCTTCATTTCAATAAAGCAAGATCTGAGATAGAAATGAGAAGGCACACTGCAGTGGATGACCAGAGAAAACCCATTCAAGCGGGTTTCTCTGGAGCTGTCACTTGAATTATGAAGTGTCATCCAGGCGTAGTTCTGCTGTACATAAAGTCCCTGAGTCAGAACCGACTCGATGGCACCTAACATCATCATCCATGAGAAGACCTGAGCAGAAGGTG